CCGCCCCGCGCCGCCACCTCACCGCCTCACCCCACCAAACCAACCCACCACGCCTCATCACAACCCATCCGCGGGCAAACGCGCAAGAGAATCGCCGCGCCGCGCGGTCGAGCGTGTGTATTACTGCAGTGTTGCTGCCCGCGCGCTGCACGTTGCAGACCCGCTAGAAGTGTTGTACCACGCGGCACCTTTTGCTCTGCGAAGTGGAATCACAAAGTCGTAGGTCACGTTTTGAGTTTTGAGATGTGAGGCACATTTTCCACTGTTCTATAAGTACGGAGCGGGGTGGACTCGGGGTGGACTTCATTCTTTCATTCTCTGGACAAATGTCTAAACTTCCCTGATAAAAAATGAAAAGGGCGTCGTAAGTCCAATGCAAAGTGGACTTGCACCCTTTTCAATTTTCACCAGTGACTTCTAAACGTTAAGCCGTGTCGACTTGCGAAGCTGGGCCTATTGAAGACACCTCTCAGAACACAAGTTTTTACCACGTCGTTCTGATAGTTGTGGTTTCCTCCTGGCTTATTCAATGATTCAAATAAACGTGGTGACACGGAAAGCCGAGGGGTCGTCAACTTCGATATTCCTCCGTACACGGACTGATATTACCTCAAATATTACACCAATATTAGCCATATTACTGGTAATATTACCTTGATATTACACATTTTTCTAGTATTATGACGTCACAGCTTGAAAATTGGCTCAATATTACCAATATTATTTGTAATATTCAATATTCCTCCGTACACGGCCAAGGAGAGTTGACGACCCCTCGCGGAAAGCCGCGGTGGTGGGAATAGGAAATATCGCGGCACTGCTTCGCACAGCAGAGCAGTTCCAGCAGGTACAACGGCAGACGGACTTAGCGGAACGCACTCGCACATAGGAGCGTGCCGCGCCACTGTTGTTGTTCTTTGCCCCCCCCCCTCTCTCCCACCCACCGCTTCGTGCCTTGCCGCGCCCCAACGCGTCCCGCCGCGCCAAGTTGGAGAAATGAAACCCCTGCTGGGAACAAACTCGGTAGTTAGACCGCGAGGCTTCCTCCAAAACACCTACGAAATGGCTCGGGTGGCTCGACGTGCCAGGGAGTCTGTACACCGTTGACTGTTGTGCGGGATGGTGAGGGAAGAGGGGACAAGGGAGGGAGAGGACGCACACACCTGCCCCTGAGGAGGAGGGTGCACCAAAGTGTACGGGAGGGGGTGGTCACACACCCGCCCCCAGGCAGGCGGCGCGGCCAGGCCAGAGTGCTGCTAATACTCTTCGTTCGCGACGGGAAATTCACGTTATCGGAAGGAGTCGTGTATTTGCTGAGAAAACAGAGAAGGGTAGTGGTGGTTTGGGGGTGGCTCGGTGGTGTCTGCCCGGAGGGAACACCGCCCTCCCCCCTCCCCCCCTCTGCCTCTCTCTTCTCGGTGCCTTGAGCACTGCTCCAGCGCTCCCACCCTTGGGTCTGTCCTCGCGACAGCGCAGCGGTCGTCGGTCGCAGAGCGAGCTAGGACTCGACGACGGCACGTTTTCCGGTATGCGTGCGGCCGTGTGCAAGAGGCGTGTGTCGGAGGACGCGTGCACGATCGCTACCCCACTCTGCCCACTGGCCGCGGTCCTCTCTGGCCCGGCCCACGCGCTGCCCGCTGCACTCGACCAATTTGGCTCGGGGCCATCGGGGCCCCCCGGGCGCCCAAATGCAAATCATACGCCCCCCCCCCCTTACCCCTCCCAAGCTCCTGGAGAGCGCGCCGCACTGTGCATGCACCGCTGCACCGCAGTCTGATTGCCGAGCTCCAGGCTCGCGGCCCCGCCCCGCCCCGCCCCGCCCCGCTCCGCCCAGGGCCACACCAGCAGCATACAAATAACACCAACACCGCCACCCCCGACGCCGCCGCCGACGCCGCACCGTCTCGCCACCAAACCAAAAGCACAGCGCAAACCGCTGAAACCAAAACGAAAGCCTACTCGCCCCCCCCCCTCCCTGCCTCCATTCCCATCCCATTGTTTGCGCTGCTGTTATAATTTCTGTTTAAGCCGCCTCCTTGCCACCGCTCTCCTCTTCCTCCTCCTCCTCCTGCTCGCGCGGCACAGCCAGCGTGGTGATAGTAATTATCACCGTTTTAACCAAATGTGGGTGCGGGAGCAGGCGTCAGCAGCGGGCGGGCCCGCGCCGGACATCAGGAACAACAACAACTTGGGGCGCGTGTGCTCGCTCGCCGCCGCCGCCGCTGCTGCTGCAGTATGCGAATGAGAAATCAGCCTTGCAAATCAGCGAGCCACGTCGCTCGGTCGGGCGGGGAGGGTTGGGCCCGGGGAAGGCGGGCGAGAGCGGCGGGGGG